TGTGTGTGTGTGTGTGTGTGTGTGTGTGTGTGTGTGTGTGCATACGTACATGTCATGGTGTATGTGTTGAGGTCAAAGGACAACTTCCACCATGGTGTTAGTCTTCTCCTTCTACCATGTGGATACTGGGGATGACACTCAAGTCATCAGCCTGGGCAGCAGGTACGTTTATCCACAGATCCATCTCTCCAGCCCTCACGGGAGTTCTCAGTGGGCTGCTGAGCTTTATGCACACTCTGTGTATAAAGAGCATGTTCATCATATTGATTGTGTACATGCACAGGTTCACACAAGAGAACTACTGTGAAAAACAAAAACAAAAACATGTGCCTCACAAAGTGGTCAGCATAGTGTTGTCCCACACCTCAAGAGTTGCCCATGGTCTTCACGTCCCTCCATTTGCAACACTTCTCAAGTATTTGCATTCCAATATGTTTAGACATTAAGCGGAAATCTATCACAATCTCTAAAACAAAACAAAACACTGTTTTCCTTCATCCCCTTGCCCTCATGTTTAAAGCTAGATTTGTCTTTACCGTCATGTGAAATAGATAGACTGGAGGCGGCTGCTTTGCAAGCTAATTGGCTTAGTAGCCAGCCTGGGTCTGTGGAATCTAACGCTCGGTCTGAGAGGCAGTGAGTGTTCCCTTGCCAGGTGGCTGCAAATGCCATCTCCCTTCCAGGCTCCATCATCGTAAGACAATGATTTTCCACATCCCCCAAGTCCCATTGCATGAATCATTTACTGTGCTGGCTACAGCCCAGCCCAGAGACGAAATCTTAAACCTGAACATGCCGAATGGGATTATCTCATGGGCCCCAGCAGGTGTGTGGCCAGGAATGCTAGCTCAAGAGCTGTTTGGTTTCAGAAATGTCCCACTTGTAAGTCTCAAGGATCGTTTGCATTTTGTTTAAATTTGTCTGCAGTTCTTTGTTTTCTGAAGGGCTTTTATGCTGAAGGTTCTGGAACTGCTGGGGGCTGGTGGTAGACAAGCTGTTCAAGGTGAAACAGGCTGATGACAAAAACCAAATCTACCCAAATTACACTTCAGCTGCTTTGCATAATTTACTTTCAAATAAATTGTGCATATCTATTTTGTAATTTATCTTGGTGAACACAGCTAGGCTGGCTAATTTACTCACCTAGGCGATTTCAACAGAGACTGAAAAGGGCATGTTTGTGATGATGTCATTTAATAACTAAACAATCCTTAAGGCCATTTGCTGCCTACAACAGCAAGGTACAATTTCAAATCATGTCATTTTTCCATACCTGAAAGTGAGCTGTCCAGTGAAAGCATCAAATAGCCTAAGAAGAATTAACAGCCATTGAAATGTTTTTCAAACAATGAATGAATGGGAAAGTGTGCTGCTCTGAATGAAAATGGCTCACAGGGAGTGGCACTACTTGAAAGGATTGAAAGGTGTGGCCTTGTTGGAGGATGGGTGTCCCTGGGGGTGGGCCAAGCCAGACCCAGAGCTGCTGTTCTCCTACTACCTACAGATCCGCATGTAGAATTCTCTCTCTTCTTCTCCAGCATCATTTCTGTCTAGGTGCTGCCACACTTCCCACCATGATGATAATGGACAAAACCTCTGAACTGTCACCCAGCCCCCAATTAAATGATTTCCTTTATAAGAGTTGCTGTGGTCCCGTTGTTTCTACAGCAATAGAACACTAACTAAAACAGGAGTTGAATATGCTACTCCTTCACAAAGATCCATTCACAGAATACTTGATTCTAGTGCTGCCTGTGTGCTGTGATAAAGCAGGAAGGAAAAGTGAAGAGAAGTGAGCTCTTGGAGGCTTGGGTCCGTTGACAGCATCTGCAAATTGTCACCAAGTAGTGAAAGCACAGGTGTGCAAAGGCAGCAGAGAAGAAGCTATACAGGATCAGAAAAGGGGACAGAGTGTTCATTTAACTAAGTGTCAAGAGAGCTTGCACAGTTAGGGTCTCCGGACATAAACCAGGGGTAAGGAAGAGCAAAAGGAAGACTACCACAGACAAAGGAGCCTGGCCTGTAGCAGAAGAGCAGGACAAAGAATCAAAGGAAGCCAGTGTGAGGAGAAGGAGGCCGAGGGGCCCAATGAAGGGAGAGTTACCTTACTGGGGTAGCCTACCCAGCTCTAGAAACATGGGCCCTGAGGGATTTCTTATCTTAACAGTACTGGGCATGGCTGGGCTCAAGGGTCTGAGTGCTCACATACCCCCTAAGAGAGATGTGATGATCTCTCAAGGGCTAGGTTAAGGCTGAGAAGTGCCTATGGAGAGACCACCCTGCCTTTGGCTGTGTAGAGTTCATCAGCTGAGCATAGACCTGGGTTTTAATAATGCTAAAAACAATAACAACAACAAAAACCTGAGGCCAGTGAGTTGATCAAATTCAAGAGCCATGTATCTCTCCAGGGGTGAACACGATTCCCACAACCACATTCCTCCAGCAGGGTGATTCATACAAAGATGGGCTTCTGCCTTTACCAGTCTCGGTGCTGTGGCTGCCTCCTACAACTCCCATGCACTTGGAGAACATTAGCCGCTTGACGACTGTGACCTAAGGATTTCTGACAGACTGAGTCTGTCCAATCTAGAGAATGGAAGGCTGTGTATGGCAAAGAAAGGTCCCTGCTGCACAAATAAGGAAAAATACTCCCAAAAAGACTACTCTCCAGACATCAGACAGACTCAGTAATTAAAGAGCCCACAATTTAACTGACACCCAGCCATATGCAGGTAACTGTCATTCTAATTTTCAAGGACCAAGAAAAAAGCTGGCCCAACTCCTCATCCTTTTGTTGTTTCTTGGTAACCTCTGTGATGACACCTCTTTGAGATTTATTTTTTAATGTGTTGTACTGGCTGGTTTTGTGTTGGCTTGACACAAGCTAGAGTCATCAGAGAGGAAGGAAATGCCACCTTAAGATCCAGCTGTAGAGCATTTTTCTCAATTAGTGATCAATGGGGAAAGGTGCAACCCACTGTGGGTGAGCCCATCCTTGGCCTGGTGGTCCTGGATTCTATAAGAAAGCAGGTTGAGCAAGGCAGGGGAAGCAAACCAGTAAGCAGTTTGAGGCCTCAGCATCAGCTCCTGCATCCAGGTTCCTGACCTGCCTGACTTCCTTCAATAATGAACAGCAATATGGAAGTGTAAGGCAAATAAACCTTTTTCTCCCCAACTTGCTTTCTGGTCATGGTGTTTTATGCCAGCAATAGAAACCCTAACCAAGATGTGTGTAGACGTTTTTTTTTTGTGTGTGTGTGTGTGTGTGTGTGTATACCACATGCATGAAGTGCTTATGGAAGCCAGAATAAGGTTCAGATTTCCTGTAATTGAAGTTATAGCCAATTGTGAACTGCCATGTAGGTTCTGGAAACAAAATCACCTGGGCCCTCAGAGAGAGCAGCTGGCGCTCTTAACAGAGTGGGTGGAGGTGAGGGGGAAGCGAGGAAAATGAATGAGAAAATCAGCAATGAGGATAAAAACGAAAGTCAGCAAAACAGAACAAAGTCTTAGCAAGCAAATTGAGATTCTGAAATAAATAAATAAATAAATGGAAATGCTGAAAACAAACAAACAAACAAACAAAAAATCCTCAAGGAGTAACATTTAAAAACACAGTGGAATGCATGACCAATAGCCACAATCAAGCAGGAAAAAAAAATACTCTAAGGGTGGGAGAGGACAAGGTTAACGAAACACTACAATCAAACATCTATAACAACAACATTAACAAAAAAAGTAAGTAAAAGAGCATGACCACAAAATCTAAGAACTCTAGATATACGGTCAAGAGACCAAACCCAAGAATCCATGGGCTGAAGGAGTTGAGATAAACACTAAAAAGCATAGCAAATGTAGCCAACAAAATTGTAGCAGAAAACTTCCCAAGTCTAGGAAAAGAATCAGACATTCAAACACACAAGGCATCTAGAACCAAATGGACATGATCAGAGAAGAATATCTCCACAACAGATCATAGTCAAGATGTCAAATATACAAAGCAAAGCAAAGCTGTAAGGGAAAACAACCCCCTACAAGTGCAGAAATGTCAGAAGAACCTCAGATCTCTCATTAGTAACCAACCCCCAAAGCCAGAGAATCACAGAACAATATGTTTCAAGCCTTAGAGGTGATAAATGCCAAGCCAGATTGCTGTACCCAATTAGGAGTGCACAAACTTCAACCTAGGAAGGATTCTCATCAATCCCAATTCTAGTTTGAGCATACTAGCTTGATAGTGTTCTCCTATATCATCTCAGGAGACTTGTGTAATGCAGGCAGGGCATAAATATGTTTAACATACAAAAGGGGCAGCAACAGTTGACACCAGCACGCAGAAGACCTACACAAGCATTCCATATATATTAACTAAGCTTCTACTCTTGAAACAAAATTTAGACTCTTTGGCTTGGTAGAATATTATAGCTACATCACTGAAAAAAATAAGAACTTCAGATCTCTTACAGATTTAGAGAATAATCACAAACAGACTCATCTTCTGATGTTTAAGGGTTCCAAAAGACTGTATAGAGATAAGGGAAGACATTATCAGAATGGAAATAATGTTGTGCTAAGAAAGTAATGCCGAAAAGGCTAAAGCACAAAGATTGTGAGTCTAAGGCCAGTCTGAACATCATAGTGATACTATCTCTTACAGCCAACAAAAATGGAGTCACATGTGCCAACCCTTTCAAGAGTAACTAAAACCAAGATGTTATGGTGAGGTGGTGCTTATGCATGGATACCAAACACTATCTTCTAATTTTGGCTCTTATTTTTATTTCTTTTATAATAGTTGTCTCAGGCATGGGCATATTTTAGGAATTTTCACATCAAATCCCTCATAGTCTAAACCATTCTGGCAAGAAAGAAAATACAGAGAGCTATTTGTGTTCTCTCCTTTTGGCTATTATACTATTAAAACAGTGGATTCCAAGGAATTATAATTTCCCTAGGAATCTCTTTCTGGATGAAGGGAATGTCCAAAGCCCTTGTGTGGTCAGAAAAGGAACTTGTCTATCAAGAAGAGATTGCACATCCCAGGAGAAAGACAAACACGGTATATACTCACTTATATAGACCTATAAGATATGATAAACATAATGAAATCTATACACCTAAAAAAGATAATCAAGAGAGTGGACATGGGGTAAGATTATCAATCCTCGTTTTGAAAGACAGAGGGGATGCGCATTGAACATTGACAGGAGTCTACTGAGCGCATTTGAAAAACTCTAACTAGCAGTGTTTTCAAAGCAAAGACTCATGACCAAACCTTTGGCAGAGTACAGGGAATCATAAGAAAGAAGGGGAGTTAGTCTGATGGGGAAAGGATAGGAGCTCCACAAGGACCAAATTTATCTGGGCACAGGGTCTTTTCTGAGACTGACATGCAACCAAGGACCATGTATGAATGTAGCCTAGAACCTCTGCTCAGATGTAGCCTGTGGTAGGTCAGTAACCAATTGGTTTCCCATAGTGAGGGGAACAAGAACTATTTCTAACAGGAACTCGATGACTGGCTCTATGGCCTTCCCACCCCCCAAGGGAGGAGCAGTCCTGTTAGGCCACAGAGGAGAGCTTTGCAGCCAGTCCTGAAGATACCTGATAAAACAGGATCAGATGAATGGGGAGGAGGTCCCCTCTATCAGTGGACTTGGCAAGGGGCACGGTGGAGATGAGGGAGGGAGGGAGGGACTGGGAGGGAATGAGGGATCTGGACACGGCTGGGATACAGAGTTAATAAAATGTAACTGATAAGAAAAAAATAAAATTAAAAAAAAAAGAAGAAGAGATTGCACACAATTTTGAGACCTTGTCAGACCATCTTATAGAACTGACTGAAGCTGAGACAGATGGGTCAAAGATGGATATGACCACAGCTTGATCAGAAGTGCTACGTCTCAAGTGTTGTTCCTGAGGAAGCCACCAACTTTGACCTGTCTGTCTGTCTGTTTTTGAGACAGGGTCTCTGAATGGAACCTGTGGATCATGGATTTGGCTCACTTCATAGTGAGACCATCTCTTTCAGCCAACAAAAATGGAGTCACTTGTGCCAAGCCTTTCAAGAATAACTAAAGCCAATGTGTTATGGTGAGGTGGTACTTAAGCATGGCCAGCAAACATCAGGGATCTCTACTGTGCCTGCCTTCAAAGCATTAGGATTATACATATATGCCACTACCCATGTTTTTTATGTAGGCAATAAGGATCTAAACTCAGGTCTTCATACTTAGCCGGAAAGCACTTTACTAAGCCACCTCATCAAAGAGTACAGTCAGCAGTGTGAAGCGCTCTTTGAACACCATTCCTGTGCAGCTCATGTGGGACTGGGAGGCAGCACTCCCCCAGGCAGCCTGATTGTCTAAGATGAAACCTTATTGCCCTGCTTAAATAAGAAAATGCCTTTCAGTGGGGGAGTATTCATCAGCTTTCAAAAAGATAGTGAGGCATTGTCACCTCCATCAGGTGCTACCCTGCACATCCGACCTTGATCCTGACTTTTCTAGACTTCAGTTTGTTCACCCACAGCCTCGGTGCTTTTCGCCTCTTCCTTCACATTCATCCTTGCTGGATTTTTCACCAAGCAACTGAAGGAACCTGCTATATTCAAAGATGCTTAAAAACACAAAGGCAAAGGGAATTCAAATCCTGTGTGGCTTTTTAGACTTTCCAGAGCGGAGGCTGCGTTTTCGGATAGTATTCTAATGCCTGTCTGTGAAGCACATTTCTTGGCTGACCGAGTAGCCATGAACTTTGGATGACATCTGAAGACTCTCCCCAGTGGAAAGGCTGGATGTGATCTCAAGGAGCGAGCGTGACAGAAAGCAAAAGACAAAAGTACTACTTGGACTGTGGAGACAGGAGGGACTGAAATGGGCCCTCTTAGGCTCATGGTTTCATGGTTATTGATATAGAGCCTTTCTGTCATAGTTAGCACCCTCTGCTGGCTGAATGAAAAACCCTCGCTGAGTAGTTCACAGCTGAAATACTTACGGATTTCACAGTTTGCTCCCACCCAGCCATGAGGGCAGTGGCAGGTGTAACCATTGGGCTGGTCCAAGCAGGTTCCAGCATGGTGACAAGGGTTACTGTCGCATTCATTGATGTCAATGTCACACTCTTCACCTAGGAGGATAAAGAAAATTAACAGTGATTGGCTACACCCATATCCCCCATGAGTTTCTTGGGGAAAAAAAAAAAAAACAAAAAAACAAGATCCCCAGGCTGGTGATCACAGCCCTGCCTACTGTTTGGACAAAGTGGGGAACTCTCAGAAAATACCAGACAAAAGATTTTTCTCTTAAGAAAAAGCTGAATCAGGGAACTTCCCAGAGACTCATACTCCAACCAAGGACTATTCATGGAGATAACATAGTAATGGGAAGAGGGACTGCCTCTGACATAATCTGATTGGCCTGCTCTTTGATCACCTCCCCCTGAGGGGGGAGCAGCCTTACCAGGCCACAGAAGATGACAATGCAGCCACTCCTGATGTGATCTGATAGATTAAGATCAGAAGGAAGAAGAAGAGGACCTCCGCTATCAGTGGACTTGGGGAGGGGCATGGGTGAAGAAGGGGGAGAGAGGATGGGATCGGGAGGGGAGGAAGGAGGGGCTTATGGGGGATACAAAGTGAATAAAGTGTAATTAATGATAAAAAAAGAAAAAGCTGAATAAAGAAAAATCATTGTTAAGAAGACTATCTTTTTGAGCCCATGAAGAAGCATCTGAATAAACCTTTTGAGGTTGACCTAAAAAGCGAACTTAGGTTCCCAATGTTGTTAAAGACTCACAGTTTATGATTATTTTGTAGCTAAGCATTTGAGTTTACCAGGTTGGACATTGGCTCTTTAGTGGACACAGTTGTATACCTAGTTCAAGTTCTTTGTGAAAACCAAGTCTCCTTTCTTAATCCTATATGCTTGTCTTCATCAGGGAAGGGACTGAAAATCTCAGGGGTAGCATCAGGCCCAACTACAGTGACAGTTACAGACATGAGATGAGCCCAAATCTGACACACTCTTTCCTGGGAAGTCATGGCTCAGAGGAGGCTTATATCCACTCCAGTCTGTTCTTCCTCTAAAGGAGGATGGCCAGACCCTGATGAGACACAGCATTCTGGGCTTCCTAACCTGCCCACAGAACCTGCTGACACACGCTAATTCAGCACACAGGACAGCATCACTGTGATCCAAACATCCCGTATAGGAAGTGTCTTGTTGGCAAAACTTTCATGAACAAAGACACCCTTGAATAACTCTACAGCCATCACAATGAACCAATACAAGATGAAGACACTCTTTAAACCTAAGGGCTTCTTGTCAAAGCTGAAGAGGGAACTTCACACAGAGGCAATCTCTCTTAAAAGGGAGAAAGAAAAAAAAAAAAAAACAGGAGAGAATTTTTTTTTTTAAAATAAGCCCTCATTTGCTTAGATAAACACAGAAAGAGATGGAAAAAAAAAAAAACAACACTACTTTCATCACCACAATCAACAGCAAAACCAAGTATTTGTTCCATCTTCAGAAAGCAACATTTCAGTGTATTCAAGTAATTACTTCCAGGCTTACTTAGCATTAAATTGCTTTTCTATCTGCCGCTGGTCTACTTCACATTTATAAAACTGCCATATGTTACTCAAAGATCATTTCAAAGGAAGAATCCCGCACGGAAAGATTTCACGTCTGTTTCGTTTCACACTCCTTGTATAACCTCCCATTTGACTATTCAAGTTAAATCTGTCGAACAAAACTCTCATGGTCTTGGGGTCACCCAAAAATGATTATAATCCTGTCACATCAGGGTGAATTTGTTTCTTGCAATAAATATAGCAATTTACATCAATAGAAAAAAACACAAAATCAATGGCCTCATGCTAACCTGTTTTAACCTGTTTAAAATATGGTCCCAGTGTATCAGTGGGGTGATGACTCTGAGAGGAGGAAGGCATGGACTACACCATCACAGATGGCATTCCATGGTAGACTGGTTGAAAAGCACATCAACAGGAATACGCTGAGAAAGACTGAAGGACAAAAATCAAAGGCTTTCACAGATACATACATCAGTGCCACTTTCCACGCATTTAGGAAGCCAGCCTCAATGGAGATCTTTACTAAACAATAGTTTGCTTCAGCTGGTATCCAAGATGTTGACAATTCTGAAACAAGAGCCAGTGACCTGAACAGCAATAGTGATAGGAAACAGCCTGGCTCTTCCCAACCTTCATAGCAGGCAAGAACCCATGCCCCACTCTGTTCCATCAAATTCAAGGTCCATGCCATATGCTCAGCACACAAGGTGGCCTTACACTAAAGGACTCCTCAAGCTTCAGCTTCCCAAGTGTTGAGATTACGATGGCCCTACCACACTGAGCCAAGCATCCATCATTCCATGTGGTCCAACATACTGATGTTATTTTTCCAGTCAATAAGCATTTTGTCCTATTCTACTAGCCGGGATCTTAGTGCTAATTATGTGTCTTTACTAATTGCCAACTTAACGAGTCTGATATTTTGTGGGCCTGAGACAGTTGTCTTTCTAGTTTAGTTGTTTATTGTTTTCTTTCACCTAAGTTAGAAAAAACCCGCAGTGTTCATTCCTGAATAACATTTGTGAAGAGATGCAAAATGACGTTTGCAGTCTTTTACAATTTCTTTTTAACCTGTTCTCTTTCTCACTTCCCCTCCCTCTCTCTGCATACACAGTGCACAAATATAAATGTAGGTGAATGTTGGTGTACATACATATGGAAGCCAAGGTTGAAGTTGAGTGTTTTCCTCTATCATGCTTTACCTTTGTAAAAAAAATGTGTATGAGTGCTTTGCCTTCATGTATGCCTGTGTATCACATGCATGCCTGGTGCCAAAAGAGGCCAGAAGCAGGCATCATGTGCCATAAAAATGAAATTACAAATGACTGTAAGCTATCATGTTGGTGCTGGGCATCAAACCCAATGTCATCTGGAAAAATAGCTAGTGCTCTTATATCCTCAGCCATTTCTCCAACCCCTATCTTATTTTTTGAGACAGTGTCTCTCACTGAACACAGGGCTCACAAACTAGCTAGACTACCTAGCCAATAAGCCATGGGTACTCCTTTTCTGTCCCCCTTCCCGAAGCCAGGATTATAGACTTGCCACCATGCCCCATTTTTCAGATGGGTGCTGGAGATCCAGACTCAGGCTGCACTTGACCAGATGAGCCATTTCCCAGCCCTCAGTCTACTACTGTCTACGAGGGATGTGGATAATATGTATACTGAGTAGTATTTATAGAAGACTATAATCATATTGATCATTTGCGATGCTTTCCTTGGTTAAGTTAGGAAATGTAAAACAACCAAAAAAATCCGAAGATCATTACTGTTAGTAAAGCCTTGAGTTGGCAGAGTCCACGCTCAGAGGTACAGATGAAAATCCCTGCAACCACAATATCTAGCGATAAACATATGCCAGGCCCCAGGCCGGCGCTTTAGCTTGTTCCTTCATACTTTAATAGAATTTTATTGCAGGTAAATCGAGGTTCAAAAACATTATTTAGAACTTTTCCCGTCGTGGTGAGAAAACTGGAACCTGTCTTAGCCACCCCCTATACACTACAAGACTGAATGAAATATATGAAAAATAAAACCCTTGAAGAACTGGACACAGGCAGCCCAGAGCTGCAAGAAGAGAAATGTGGCAGCCAACGCCACAGTCTCCCCTGGCTTCCACCTGCAGTCAGCTCTCAAACACAATGGTTTTGCTGAGCTACAGAGACAAAAGCTGCAGTCTGTGGAAGCCAAGGTCATATCTGGGAAATACTACTGCTAGAGAGTAGAAGATAGATAAATAAAGTACCTAAAACGCTAAAGCGTGTTTCCCTCCCAGAGGGACACTGTCCTCCCAAAGTGACACTGTCTCTCTAGAGCCTGCTAACAAATAGTGTGTGTGCACTGAATTCTAAAAGCCTGGCAACGAGTGTGAGAGACAAGCAGCTCCCCGACTTGTATCAGAGGAGGAGGGATTCAAGGTTCACTGCGCACAGTGGATCAGTGAGGCCATCAAGTGTCCCTTCTTAGCAGCAAGACACAACCACCACCATAATAGAGCATCACAACAGAAATGATCAACATAGAAACGTTGGTATTAAAAACAACAGATGGTCAGACCGCTTGCAATGTTAACATACAGTGACCAGCATCCAAACGAATCTGGAGAAGAGGAGAAAAGAGAGTACAGAGCACTAGGAGTCCACCTGCCCACCTTTAAAAGTCACATGGCTACAGCAGAGTTTAGATATCAAGGCTGGATTGGCAACAGATATCTAAAAAGTCACATGGCTACAGCAGAGTTTAGATATCGAGGCTGGATTGGCAACAGACATATCAATCAATAAAAAAGAAGAAAGAACTCAAAAATAGACCCACACAAATATTGCCAACTGATTTTTGACCAAGGTTCATAAGTAGTTCAATGAAAGAAAAAAACAGATGGCCTTTATAACTAATGAAGCAAAGTTTAAAAGGAAAAACAAAAACAAATAATGTCTACTTGGAAAATTCTATGAAGGAAGGCAGTTGGTGAAGAAAAGTAACTAGATCAGAGAAGCCTCACTGAAGGGCAGGTCTGCAGAAGCCGATCTGCCAATTTAATGCCTTTAGAAATGAGTTGCATTAGGATGCTGCTGTTGTTGAGACAAGGTCTTATGTAGCCCAGACTGACCTTGAACTCACTATGTAGCCAAAGATGAGCTTGAACTTGTAATCCACCTTCCTCCACCTCTAGCGTGCTGGGATTATAGGCTTGAACCACCATGTCCCTCTTAGGCCTGGCTAAACTAAATGAAAACGAGCTGTAAGCAGACCCTGTATTCTAGCTGGAAAAGTGATTTTCTAAAAGAACATAAGGTAGCAATTTTGATACTGCTATGGCACATGTTGGAAAGATGAACTGCATAGTTGGATAGTGGAAATCACTTAGGTTGCTGTTGCTGGGGGGGGCATTATAGATAAATAAAAGAAGAGCAAAATGATCCCTGTTGAGCTGGAATGAAATTGGGATGTCACTGTGAATTCCCATTAAACTTAATATAGGCACAGACAGCTGCACAGTGATATGTGTGTGTACCAGAAGCATACATTAGTATGTAGATAGGTGCTTGCTTGCCAGCCAAGGCTCTAAAACTTGTGGCATCCTAAGGGCAACAAGTACTTTTAGGGCCTACATACCTATTTTGAATATTTTCCAATAAGGAGCCAGGGGACCTTGGAGAAAGGGGTGACTCCAGGATGAGGACAGGAAATAGACAAAAAGTGACTGGCGAATCTTAAGACATGAAAAAGTATACAAGTGCTGAAACACAACACAACAAACCAGCCACCCCTACATCCATAACGGGAATTTGTAGAAGGGGCATAGGAGCCAAATGAAAGACCTCCCAGTGCCAAAGTGGGAACATAGTGAGCAACAAAATAAACTAGGACATGGTGTCCTGTAACACAAACCTTACATTAAGTACCCAGGAATCCCATTAATATAAATAAATGATTGGACAAACTAATAAACTGGGGGAGAATAAGCAAATCCCTCACAGGGAAGGATTCCAAGTGGTCCTTAACTACCCCACACTCGTACAGGGGAGCACAGCCCCCACTCATTAAGGGCAGGTGAGGCCAAGTGACTTCCTTCCACACAGTGCAGCATGGAAAAGGAGGGGAAGTGAAATGGGGCTGGGAAACCTAAGGAACATCACCTCAGCCCATCACCAAGGCTGCCAGTAGCCACAAGCTACGCTGATAGCATGGGGCCTTGATAGGCTGTGACAGGATTTGAAAAATGGACCAAAGACATGAAGAGACACTTCACCATGGGGGATATGCAGTTATTTAAAAAACACATAAAAATGTTTATCATCTTTTTGCCTTAGAGCAATTCAAACCAAAGCCATAGGGTGTTCTCACTATAGAGCTAACAGATTAACAAAGCCTTGGAGAAAAGGGTGGATGCCAAGCCACTAACTGAAAGATGGAGAGGACCTACACCAGGTGATAGAGAGAGCTAGATAGAAGAATGTCAGGCTTGGAGAGCAGGGAAGCCCTCTCAGTTGGGAGGGAAATGGGACACTGGGTTGAGAACTTACTGATGCCTATTAGTTGTCTAACTCACTCTACTCCATCAACAAAGAAGTTCTTAGACACTCTCTAAACCTCAGATACACTGAGAGAAAGGCAGGTAAACAAGAAAAAGAAAAGAAGGTCACTGTAACTCCTGTCCCAGGGGATCCTATACTATTTTCTTGTCTCTGTGGGCCTGGCACACACATGCTGTACAGATACTCATGCAAAGGATCAAGATTATTCCACAGTTTCCAGGCAGGACAACTTACAATGGTAATAATGTCATTTGAAGTGCTATTCAGTATTTAAACATTTAAAGGAGAGAGGAATGGATCATCTCTGGGTTTGGTGTATGCTAGAGATCTCCAAGACAGCTTACTAAATGTCCTATTGGAGATTTACTCAATAGTCTACAGTAAATATTTCATTTTCTCACCTAGAAATTTTTCAAAGTAAATCTTAAATGGATTAAATATTTAAATTTGAAAATAACTCATACATAGTTACAATGATATAAGAGGATAACAATAAGATTGGACAGTTAAAGCCACTTGAGAAACAAGGACAAAAAGATAGAGGAAGCCAAGACTTAATTATGTAAAGCTGAAATATGTAAAACAAAATACTCTAGACACATTTGAAGGGCAACTAACAAAGGAAAAAGATTTACATTCTTGTCAGATAAAGGTAGTGCACTCATTCTAAACAGCTGAAAAGAAAGATTAGTGTGAACGCTCTAGCAGAAAAGCAACAAAGGTTTGAGCAGGGTGTTTGTAAAAGGAGGGACACAGAAGAAGTGTGTTTTCAGCAGACCTACAAATGAAACAACAGAGCTGTGACAGTGACACAGCTACCTACTGGAGACACAACCCTGGAGCATGTGTGTCAAGATGAGGAATTGCACAGTCATGTCCTTGGGTGTGAAAGCTGGCATTTTGTTTTGGTTTGGTCTCGTTTTCCCTCGGAGAATATAACACACATGTAATACTCCGTTCTCCTGGACCCCTGAGTTTCTATTCCTAAGGAATTGTACTAAAAAGGGGGTGGGGGCATATGCAGAAAGATACACATGTAAAAACATTCATTTCGTTATTGTTTACAATATGGAAATATTCTTAACTGCCAAAAGTCAAACTGAAGATGAACTAAAAATAAATCATGGCATTTCATAGAACTGACTACAAGGCAACCAATAAGAATGCTTTAGAAATAAAAGCATGGGGCAAAAAAAAAAAAAAAAAAAAAAAAAAGATGTCCCAGCTGTTAAGGGCACATACTGCTCTTCTAAAAGACCCGTGTTATGTTCTCACCCACCCACACTGGGCAGCTTACACCCACCTATAACTCTAGCTCCAGGGACTTACTCCCTCCTGGCCTCTGTGGGTACCTACACTTCTGTGCACATACCCAAAACACACACACACTATTATAAAAAGTATTTTAAAGGTATAATTCTTGACATGGAAACTCATTTCTTATTTATTTATTTATCAATTCATCCTAGGTCATAAATAGGCTTCCAAATAACAGTTTTATTCCATTTTTGTTACATAGGTACATACATAGACTATATGCCATATTCTATACATAGAGCTTTGGGAAAACTCTTGGGTGTCGATATATTAATAATGTTATTTCTCAACAACTTTGTTTCAATACCTTTATATCTTCTAATTTCTTCTGTGCTTTTTATTTGTTACTAGTAAGACAGAAATATCTGGAAAAGACCCCGAAATCTCCCCCAAACTATTTTGCCTCCACTGACTGACATATAAATGTTCCTCTCCATTTACAAGCCATCAGATAAACAAAAGCATCTGCAAATCATTTTCTGGAGCAAGCCCATTTCTCAGTCTCAGGACAACCCAAAAGAGAAGTTCAGGGTGTGAAACAGAGAAATAGAAAAAAAAAAGATTAGAAGATTAAGCTCCTCCAGACACGTGGCTGTTGACACTCTTCCCCAAAGGTAAATGCTAAGGCTTCCCCGGAAAGGACTAGACAGTGAACTCTGCCAAATTGTTGTACAGTTTGGAAGTGGCTACAGTGGCTAGCTTGGATCCCCCAATCCACAGGTAACTCCCTAGCATTCGTAAGCCACTGAGACTCAAGTGAACCCAGCTCCTGTGTCCACAGCTGTCACAGCTCTCTTTAGCTACCCATTCCAGTCTGTCCCTGCATCCCCATTTGACCCTGAACCACTCTTCCCCAACACCACCAACTGCCTACAGTTCTCAAAATTCTTTTACTTTCACAACATTCAGTAAAAATAAAACGGTATCTAAATGCAGTCTCCACAAAAGACACACTCTATCCTTCCTGTCCCCTTCACGCTACATTAACACTACCACTTTCAAGCGTTCTCTCGAAGGCTCATGGCTTATGCTCCAGAGCTCCAGCTCTACAAACGTTCAGTGACGGCAGTCTTAGCAGATCTAAATGACAAATGTTGACCGCAGAAGAGCCTAGTCTGACGACAACACAGTCTACTGTTTAAAACCTACCTCACCGGAGCCATGCCTCCTGACATTTGACAACGGCGTTCCTGCTCTGCAACCATTTATGGCAGGGGGTTTGGGGTTGCCTAACCTTGGCAACCACGGGGACCATGGGGTGAGTTTGAGAACACAGTCCCGGACTGCTCACCTGTGAAGCCTGGTGCACAGATGCACGTGCCGTTCAGGCCCTCGCTGTCGCAGGTACCTCCATTCAGACAGCTGATGTTAGCACAGGGGTCCTTGTACAGTTCACAGTGTGTTCCTGCAGAGAAGCAAACAAGAAAGGGTGACTCAGAGTGCGCCGGTTCCGGCAGCCTTCCAAAGGAAGGTGTCTCACCAGCATGCGACAGCACTGGGGCATATGCATACATGTATACCTGGTATGTATGTGCACATGTGTGAGTGCATGTGTGTGCATGTGTGTGCACTCGTGTGTGTGCCATGTATGTGTGTGCATGTCTGTGTGTGACAGGTGGCTGTCTGTATGTGTATTTGTGTATTTGTGTGGGTGTATGTGAATGTCTGCAAATGCATGTATGTACATGTTTGTGTGTGTGCGCTTGTGTGTACGTGTGTAGGCACAAGGTTATTGTGTAATTCAAATGCTGATTTCTGTACCCTGCCTCCATATCTGGTTGCAATCCTTGTTCTGAGAATCTCCTGTCTCAATGTTGTGAAACACTGCTCCCCACTTGGTATGCTAGTAAGGCAGCTTATAGCTAGTCACTGAAGAGGGAGGAAATAGGGCTAGACTTCCTGCCAGCCTGAGGAGGAGTTAGAGGAGGAAGTAACGGACTCAGCCACGAGAGAGGTGACATAAGGAGAGAGAAAGCTACAAAGTGCAGGTATCTCTGGGATGCATGCTGGGAGAAGATGAGATTAGCTTAGAGGGTTAAGAATAGATTAATAACTGCTCAGTTATTGTATTGTGAAGCTTATTATTAAACAAATATAGAGGAGTCTCAGTTACTTGTGCGATAGCCAGGTTAAGAGAGAAACTGAGAAACAAATGCAGTTTTATAAAAATACCTGTAACATGCATGAGTGTATGCGTGTGTGTGTGTGTGTGTGTGTGTGTGTGTGTGTGTACATGACTGTGTGTGTGCACTCCTTGCTTTAGAATATCATAAAAATGTGCTTTATTAGAAAATAACAAGTTTAATCCCTGCCTTGGGCCCTGCTAAGACACCTTATTTCCTTTTTCTCTAACTTTCCCAAGACCGATGGCATAGAGAGCCAAAAACCTGAAAGTTAGAATTTCTCAATGGCTGGCCCTCATACCCATGCACATATGGGCATCAGTATTTGACTTCAGTGAGTTACCAAAAACTGGGGGAGAAAAAAAGGAAGACAAAGTTAGGGAAAAGATATTGGGCAAAAATGGGGAAATTGGGGAAGAGGTGGTATACATACGATAATATTTCATTGTATGTATATATAGAATTATCAAAGAATTTTTTTAAAAAGTCTCAGTGCCAAATGCTGAGTCTCCAAAAGAAATAGAAGACAGATAGCCTGAGAAACACTTCATCATTGTTGAGTGACAAGAAAGGTGAAAATTAGTAGTCAGATGTTTGAAGGAATCCTAGACAAAAAGAGGGGCCTGGGTTACTCAATGCTTGGACTTCACCCTCAAAGGTAAATTGACGCATGCTGAGGTTTCCAGACACCCTGACAGCACATGTCTCAAGCACTCACTGTGTGCTTTATACCTGACTTACTTCTTACCACAATGCCCAGGAGACAGAGGCCCTCAACTACATCTCATGGAGGGGAAATGGAGGGAAGAAGCTGCTGTCAAAAGGCAGGAAAGGAAAGGAACTAGGACTCAAATCAAAGCCTGTGCTTACAGGAAAGTTTACCCCAGAGCCAAACAAGCAGTTCAGCACCCACTGAACAAAGAGGAGGCAGGGGGTCAGTGTGATAGCTCATCAGGTGAAGGTGACTGCCACCATACCTGAGCATCTGAGTTTGATTCCCAGCACCCACAAGGTAAAAAAGAACTAATCCTGACAAGCTATCCTAACCTCATGCGTGTACTTGTAACATACATGCCCACACACCAAATACATAAGTGTAATTAATTGTTTTAAATCCTTGACTAAAAATGGGAAACTTTACAGGTGTAAAAGGAAAGCAAGAAGTTTACATGTATATGCACATACAAATGTCTGGAGCGAGGTTGGATTACTCCCAGAATAGATTGCTTTGATTTCTGCTTGATTCACCCCTCCCACCTTTTTTATAACAAATGTATATTATTTTGTAATTTAAAAAAATGAAAAACGCAGTGCTATTGGGGAGGTGGGATGTCTGCTGGAAAGCCAGAGTACAAGATGGTTAACAGACTCTTCTCCCTCCCTCTCTGTGTTTCTGTCTCCCTCTTCTCATCCCGCATCCTGTGGAGTGGAAGAAAACTTGCATTCTGATTGAGGTGAGAACGTAAACAATGAAATGCTCATCCTCCCTGACAGTCTCAAGAAAAATAAGCATAAAGCAAAAAAAAAAAAACAGTGATAAAGTGCTGGCTTCACTTGCTTGCCACTTCCTTCCTCTGCTCATTATTGCTCAAGTGACCGCCACACCCAGTGATTCATCCTTCGGGCTCTGACATCTTGCTGCCCTTTTCTCTCCTCTCTTTGCTCTTTGTCACTGCCTTAACAAATGAGGCTCAAGAAGGGGGAAGGGGACAGAAGAAAATAAAAGCGGGACTTCCTCCCTACATCCTCACAAATGCCCTACTCCAGCAAGGAATTTTACAATAGTGGCCCTTGATTACCGGTCTGCTTTGCCTGCCACAGTCAAGCACTGATCAGCATCAGGCCTGGGATTTTTCTCAAGCGTTTCTCGGGTCTCCACTCTCTCAGATCTCAGTGCCTCATACCTGCAGGAAGCAGTCTCTTGGAAGGTGACCTAACACCCTCTCTGTGTCCAGGGCCTTGAAAGGAATCTTCCTGTCTCGGTAATACAAAACTTTCTTCTCCAGTCGGGTGTACAGGGTCTCTTCCTGGAGTTTCCACTTCTAAAGGCTGTTGTAGCTCACCCAGTGATTGATCCCCAATACCAAAGACCATGGTGGTACACAGATGTAGTCCCAGTACTCCAAAGTTTGAGGCAAAAGAATTAAAAATTTAAAGTCATCCTTGGCTTTTTAACAGGTTCAAGACCCTGTCTCAGAGAGAGACAGACAGACAGAGACAGAGAAAGAGAGACAGAGAAAATCTTTCCCAAGGAAGAGCACATCCATTGAATACCCAATACAAAATGGTCAGCCTTAAAAACATATACATACAAGTAACATTATATGAATTGAGCAGGTTGTGTTTATACATTTAGAAAAATATATATATATAATTATATATATAAACTATATATATAATTATATATAAACTATGTATAGTTTATATATATATATAATTAGATATGTTATATATAAACTATAATATATAAGCACTTAAAGAAAAAAGGAGGCCATGAATATGAAAGAGAGCAAGGGGAATGTATGGGAGGGCTTGCAGGGGGAAGAGGGAAGGAGAAAATGATATAATTATAATTCCAAAAAATAAAAAAGTCCATTGAAAGAGTTGGGTCAGGGAAGTCCTCTCTTCTTCAAAATATGTATCTCAAAGGCCGTAAGTTTCCATTGAGATGATCACTGGAAACCAGACAACAAAGAGCTCCAGATGTAATGTGAAGTAAAGCTATCACCAAAGTTCAAACAGAAGGCCCCAGAGCTGAACAGCTGCTACAATGAGGCTGTGCTCCCTGGGTACCAAGCAATCCTGAGTCAGTCCAGCCAGGGCAAGAAAACTAACTACATTCTCCAAATAAGGTTAAAAAGCACATTCCAAGCCAAACTTTGTACTTAGTAAATGTATCTACCTATTTTTTGTCTGTCTGTCTGTCTATCTACCTATCTATCATCTATCTACCTATCATATATATACATACCTATAATCTGATGATCATCTGTTTTTTCTCAATAGCAAATTATTTACTTTCTCATCATTTTTATTGATTCTTTGTGAATTTCACATTATGCACCCTAGTCCCACTCATTTCCCAGTCCTCCATATCTGCCCTCTACCCCTGGAAATTCCCCTCCAAAAATATAAAACATCTCACCATGGAAGCTGTAATGTGTCACGGTGTGCCACCTAGTCTACACTTTTGCCCAAACAGCTTTACTTGCAAATGTTCATTGCATTGAGTCATTGGTCTGGTCAAGGCCTCTAGCTTCTACACTATCAATACTGGGCCCTCAGTGAGAGTCCTCTGGGGTACCTGATGTTTGTTGCCCTGTATCACAGAGATCCTGCAGCTTTGGATCTGCAGAACTGACAGGCCTTCATGCACTCCAGTAGCTCATAGGTGAGGTAGCTGTTAGGTAGGCCAGCTCAAAGCCCTAAATACAGGCCTTATGCTTTTGTTTTTAATTTTTTAATTAGGGTCTCACATAACCCGGGCTGGTTTCAAGCTTTCTGTGTAGCCTGTGACAACCTTAAACATCTGATCCTCCTGCCTCTACCTCCTAGGTACTGGGATTCCAGCTGAACACCACCACACCCAGGATACGGGTTCCTGGGGACCCAGCTGCAGGGGCTTGGGAATACCACACCCACAGACCTAAAAGTCTCCAATGAGATAGATTTAATAAAAATCCCCAAACTCATGAACACACAGTTGTAATCTTTCATGTATCAGGGTTTCTTTTCCTTTGGCAATAATTTTATTCACTGTTATTTTTCTTTTTTTGGTAGATAAAGTATTCAGTTACCCGAGCATTCCTTGAGAGACTTTTGGCAGCAAGGGCTGGACAAAAGCTCATCTTAGCAGAAACATGATTCCTTTGAATTGGGAAAGGCTCACAGTCCCTGGTACATACTTGAGTCTCTTGCATTTCTATAGTCTATGTTGGTAATTCTTCTATTGAAAAATAGTCACATCGCCCTGCAGATCATTAAAACAAAGTAGCTTTGCACTGGAAACTAAACAGACAGAGCAGGTGGCCATGGTTACTCCTAAGCACCCAGGTGCTCCCCCTGTTCATGTCCTCCTATGGGTTCTGAGGCCCACCTTCCTGCCATCCCTACCGCTGCTCAGAATGCTCACCCAACACTGTTTCAGGCATCCTGAGTCTCTCACCGAACATGCTTGCCTTCACCTCTTCCTCATCTGGACTTCACCTGACATACCCGAACTCCTCAGTCTATTCCCAAGACAGATGTCCTTTCCCTATAAAGCTGATCCCTCGACTTTCTCCTGAGTCAAAGCAGGCTTAGACATTGTGTGTTGAGAGTTTGCTAAGAATACTGTTGTCAGAGAATTCCCGGTGTTAAATCCCAATGTATCCATTCCCCTCCTTGATTCCCCCTCAGATCTCCTTCAGAGCAGAGCATGCCTCTTAATTCGTGGAAGAAACTGCAGCCACAATATCATTACCCTGTCCTTGCAAAAAAGGATGACAGGCAGCCTGTGTACTTTGGCTGACATGCAGGTAGGATTGCCAGAGGAATGAGTCGTCGTTCCAAATTCCAACTGGGCCTCAAAAACATCCTATTTTGTCAGGGAAAACCAGGTCCACACTGCAAGCTAAGTCCGAGGGCTGACATACGCATCACCCACTGGCAGGAGACGGAGCAAGCACAATTACGAAACATGTTTAGTCTCAAACAAAAAATAAGCTGCAATTCAGTCAAAAATAATAATAATTCATACTTCTCATAGTAAATGATGGGCAATTATGTTTCTGGGAAATTTTTTCTATTCCAATGTGGCTCTTTCCTGAATTTAGTTTTAAAAATGACCTAGAGTACAAAAAGCAACATGCCAATTACATTTCTCCGTTGCCCCAAATAAGTTGCAATTGGTATTTGAAAGCTGAAAATACTCATTTTTTAATCTCCCAGAAGAGTAAGCTAGGTAGGTAGAGACAATTGACTGAAAATACTCTCTGCAGACTGCTGTTTCGTATTACAGTTGTGTTGCTGTTGTTTTCTGGTTTTCAGTGCTGAGACCTGAGCCTCGGACCCCAGGCTTGCAAGCCTTCCACCCTGATCTCACCCTCCACCTCCGATGTGTTCCTTGTACTTCAGTTTGGCTTTGTGATGTCATCCTATTTTTTTCAAATTCCACTTTCTCCTTGAAGACTTTTCCTACTTTTCCAATTGTTACTGAGCTCACCATCTTCTGGACTACTTCGGAAATTACAATTGCCATCTCATTCATAGACTTATTGTTCCTTGAGCATGCCAGCCTAGGCCTGTTCTCCTAGTGATGGACAGGGCTGAGGAAATTTGGACTCAATTCTCTTCTGCATAAATTACAGTGCAGGAGAAGCACACAAAATTCCCAGAATTCTCTATCCACTCTTTAAGTAGTGTGTAACGAAAAGCACAGTTTTATCCAAAAAAATGAACGTTATTCCTTCAACAACAAAGGTACAATATGGTCAAACCTCTAACCTGATGATATAATTTCTGGGACAATAAATACTCAAAAAAAAATCCAGATGGTATAAAAGTTAAATGGACAAAAATGTTCATGGTAGAATGAGTTATCACAGTCCCACATCACACGCGGTGAGTAAGACACCAAATAAGCTGAGTAACAAAGGGATTGGTAAGTATTCCTTCACTGAAACATTATAGAGCCATTTAAATTAAAAGCAGCAAGACTTCCTAGCAATGTATAAATCAAGTATGATATCATGTTGTGTGCCAGTACAAAATTACAAGTATGTTCAATTATTACTGTAAAAATGTGAATGTTTAAAATGGAAATGACTACAATTATTTATTGCTTTTGTGTGTTATAAAAATGAGCAATCCTTTTTTTTGTATTTCCAAATACCATATATTTTTATTTTACAAGTCAATTAAATTTATTTATTTATTGATTGATTGATTTATTAAACTTTATAAACTTTGTATCTCCCCATAAGCTCCTCCCTCCTCCCCTCCCAAACCCACCCTCCATCCCCCTTCTTCATCCATGCCCCTCCCCAAGTCCACTGATAAGGGAGGTTCTCCTCTCCTTCCTTCTAATCTTAGTCTATCAGATCTCATCAGGAGTGGCTGCATTGTCATCTTCTGTGGCTGGTAAGGCTGCTCCCCCCTCAGGGGGAGGTGATCAAAGAGCAGGACAATCAGATTACGTCAGAGGCAGTCCCTGTTCCCATTATTATGGAACCCACTTGGACACTAAACTGCCATGGGCTACATCTGTGCAGGGGTTCTAGGTTATCTCCATGCATGGTACTTGGTTGGAGTATGAGTCTCTGGGAAGACCCCTGTGTTCAAATTTTCTGGTTCTGTTGCTCTCCTTGTGGGGTTCCTGTCCTCTCCAGATCTTACTATTTCCCACTTCTTACATAAGATTCCATGCACTCTGTCTGACAGTTGGCCATAAGTCTCAGCATCTGCTTTGATAGTCTGCAGGGCAGAGCCTTTCAGAGGACCTCCGTGGTGGGTTTCTAGCTTGTTTCCTGTTTTCTTATTCTTCTGATGTCATTTCTCTTTGCCTTTTGGGATGGGGATTGAGTATTTTAGTCAGGGTCCTCTCTCTTGATTAGTTTCTTTAGATGTATAGATTGTAGTAGGTTTATCCTATGTTATATGTCTATATGAGTGAGTATATACCATGTATGTCTTTCTGCTTCAGGATGATCTTTTCCAGGTCCTACCATTTACCTGCAAATTTCATGATTTCCTTATTTTTCATTGCTGAGTAATACTCCATTGTGTAGATGTACCACAATTTCTGCATCCATTCTTCAGTTGAGGGGCATCTGGGCTGTTTCCAGCTTCAGGTTATTAAAAATAATGCTGCTACAAATATCGTTGAACAAATGTCCTTATTGTGTACTTGAGCCTCTTTTGGATATATGCCTAGGAGTGGCAAGGCTGGATCTTGAAGAAGTGCTATTCCTAGTTGTCTGAGAAAGCACCAGATTTATTCCATGTACAAGTTTACATTCCCACCAGCAGTGGAGGAGGGTTCCCCTTTCTCCACAGCCTCTCCAGCATGTGTTGTCACTTGAGTTTTTCATCTTGGCCATTCTGATGGGTGTAAGGTGAAATCTCAGGGTTGTTTTGATTTGCATTTCCCTGATGGCTAATGAGGTTGAGCATTTCTTTAAGTGTTTCTCTGCCATTCCATATTCCTTTACAGAGAATTCTGTAAAGTGCTGTAAAATTCTGTAAAATTCTGTTTAGTGCTCTTTCCCATTTTTTAATTGGATTACTTGGTTTGCTGCTTTTCAGCTTCTTTAGTTCTTTATATATAAAGCCCTAATATATATATATATATATATATATATATATATGGGCTAATATATATATTAGCCCTCTGTCAGATAAAGGGTTGGTGAAGATTCTTTCCCAATCTGTAGGCATATGTTTTGTTTTGATGAAGGTGTCCTTTGCTTTACAGAAGCTTTTCAGTTTCATGAGGTCCCATTTATTGATTGTTGCTCTTAGAGCCTGTGCTGTTGCTGCTCTGTTCAGGAAGTTGTCTCCTGTACCAATGAGTTCTAGGGTCTTCCCCACTTTTTCTTCTAACCGATTTAATGTGTCTGGTTTTATGTTGAAGTCTTTGATCCACTTGGACTTTAGTTTTGTGCAGGGTGGTAACTATAGATCTATTTGCATTTTGCTACATGTAGACATCCAGTTAGATCAGCACCATTTATTGAAGATGCTATCTTTTTTCCATTGTATGGTTTTTGGCATCTTTGTCAAAGATCAGGTGTCCATAAGTGTGTGGGTTTATTTCTGGGTTGTCTGTTCAGTTCCATTGATCCACCATTCTGTTTCTATGCCAGTACCATGCAGTTTTTATTACTGTTGCTCTATAGTACAGCTTAAGATCAGGGATGGAGATACCTTCAGAAGATCTTTTATTGTAGAGGATTGTTTCAGCAATTCTGGGTTTCTTGTTATTCCATATGAAGTTGAGAATTTTTCTTTCCAGGTCTATAAAGAATTGTGTTGGCAATTTGATGGGAATTGCATTGAATCTGTAGATTGCTTTTGGTAAGATGGCCATTTTTACTATGTTAAACCTGCCAAGCTATGAGCATGGGAGATCTTTCCATCTTCTCATATCTTCTTCTAATTCTTTCTTCAGAGACTTGAAATTTTTTTTCATACAAGTCTTTGACTTGATTGGTTAGGGTTACTCCAAGGTACCTTATGTCATTTGTGGCTATTGTGAAGGGTGTTGTTTCACTAATTTCTTTCTCAGTCCTTTTGTCTTTTGTATACAGGAGGGCTACTGATTTTTTTTTTTTAGTTAATTTTGTATCTGGCCACTTTGCTGAAGGTGTTTATCAGCTGTAGGAGTTCCCTGGTAGAATTTTGGGGGTTACTCAGGTATACTATCATATCATCTGCAAATAGTGATAATTTGGCTTCTTCCTTTCCAATTTGTATCCCCTTGATCTCCTTCAACTGTCTTATTGCTCTAGCAAGGACTTCCCAAACTATGTTGAAGAGATATGGAGAGAGTGGGCAGCCTTGCCTTGTCCCTGATTTCAGTGGGATTGCTTTAAATTTCTCTCCGTTTAGTTTGATGTTGGCTATAGGCTTGCTGTATATTGCTATGTTTAGATATGTGCCTTATATCCCTGATCTCTCCAAGACTTTAAACATGAATAGATGTTGGATTTTGTCAAATGCTTTTTCTGCATCTAAGGAGATTATCATGTGGTCTTTTTCAGTTTGTTAATATGGTGGATCACATTGATGGATTTCCGTATATTGAACCACCCCTGCATACCTAGGATGAAGCATACTTGGTCATAGTGGATGATATCTTTGATGTGTTCTTGGATTCGGTTTGCAAGTATTTTGTTGAGTATTTTTGCATCAATGTTCATAAGGGAGATTGGCCTGAAATTCTCTTTCTTTGTTGGGTCTTTGTGAGGTTTAGGTACCAAGGTGACTGTGACTTCATAGAATGAGTTTGGTGATGTTCCTTCTGTTTCTATTTTGTAGAATAGTTTGAAGAGAACTGGAGTTAGCTCTTCTTTGAAGGTCTGGTAGAATTCTGGGCTGAAACCATCTGGTCCTGGGCTTTTTTTAGATGGGAGATTTTCGATGACTGCTTCTATTTCCTTGGGGGATATAGGACTATTTAATTTATTTACCTGGTCTTGATTCAGTTTTGGGCTTTTTTTAGATGGGAGATTTTCGATGACTGCTTCTATTTCCTTGGGGGATATAGGACTATTTAATTTATTTACCTGGTCTTGATTCAGTTTTGGTAAGTGGAATCAATCAAGAAAATTGTACATTTCATTTAGATTTTCAAAGTTTGTGGCATATAGACTTTTGAAGTAAGTCCTAATGATTGTTTGGATTTCCTCAGTGTCTGTCGTTATGGCCCCTTTTCATTTCTGATTTTGTTGATTTGGATGGTGTCACTCTGCCTTTTAGTTAGCTTGGCTAAGGGTTTGTCTATCTTGTTGATTTTCTCAAAGAACCAGCTCTTGGTTTCATTCATTCTTTGAATTGTTTTCTTTGTTTCTAATTGATTGATTTCAGCCCTGAGTTTGATTATTTCCAGCCGTCTACTCCTTTTTGGTGTGTCTGCTTCTTTTTTGAGGGTTTTTAGGTGAGTCATTAAGTTGCTTGATGAGCTGTCTCGAATTTCTTCTTGAAGGCACTTAGCGCTATGAACCTTCCTCTTAGCACTGCTTTCATTGTGTCCCACAAGTTTGGGTATGTTGTGTCTTCATTTTCATTGAATTCTAGGAAGAATTTAATTTCTTTCTTTATTTCTTCCCTGACCCAGCTGTCATTTAGTAGCAAGTTGTTCAATTTCCATGTGTGTGTAGGCTTTTTGTTATTTCTGTTGTTGTTGAGGTCCAGCTTTATTCAGAGTGATCTGATAGGATACAAGGGATTATTTCAATCTTCTTATAGCTGTTGAGGCTTACTTTGTGACCCAATATATGGTCTATTTTGGAGAAGGTTCCATGAGGTACTGAGAAGAACGTAAATTCTTTTGTGTTTGG